CGCCGTATGCTCCGAAGGGATCATCGTCGTTCTCGTCGTCCTCGTCGTCCTCGTCTTCGTCTTCGTCGTCTTCGTCCTCGTTCCCGTCATTGTACGGGGGGTGTTCAATGCGATTTGCGCCGCCACCTCTGCCCAAATCGTCATCTCTCGGGTTGTCACCTGTGCTATTTCTAGCGACTGTATCTCCCTTCTGGGGTGAAGACGAAGAGGCTTGAACTCTGGGTTCGCCCGTGCCACCCATGGTAGTATCTTGGTCAGAGCTATTGCCTGTGGAATGCTGGAGGTCCTGATTAAGCGGCATTGAGGAGGTAGTAGCTGCATATAACAGTCAGTAATTACATCCCATGGAGAAGACGTCTATCAGATGAATCAAGGACTGACCTTGGGACTGTGTAGAACTCCTTTTGGTCCGAGCCGATCTTCGACTGGCAACATTAGAACTGGGTGATGTGTCCATAGCGACGGGGATATCAGGCATCCTATTTTGAATATTAACACCATTTCCAACAAACACGGTCTTTCCAACTAACTCGGTGCCGTCCATATCCACTAAGACTTTCCCTTTCCGCGGCGAGGTTGGGTGAGGTAGATTATTTGCAGATTCCAATGGTGGAACAGCAGCTTCAGGAATCTTCTGTCTCTTGGACCGTCGAACCGAAGAGCTGGATTGTGATCCAGTCGCAGGGCTTTTCTCAGCGCTCGAAACTTTTCGCTTCCGGGATAACGATAGCGATGGAGCAGTAGAGGGCGAAGTCTCTGGCAGCGTGTTGGTAGAAGCAGATGATGCAGCAGAAGCTCGAGCCGCCTGGCTCGCTGCTTGGCGGGCAGAGGATCTGGTTATTCTGGGAGACATGAGAAACTGGCCAAGAAACTGCTCGCTTGCTCGTGCCTGGGGTAGAAGGGAAATGAGGGAGAGGAAAGCGGGGAGAAGAGTAGAAATCCTTGCTGCAGCAGTTCGTGATGGCTGTGGATAAAGTAGCTGGGTTGGTGTTGTCAGGCGTTCGGCGGCGGCAGTGCCAGGGCAGGTGCGTGCGTGTATAAGCTATGCAGAGGGGCTGCTCGTGATGAATGGAGTAAACGGCAGTGCCAGACCTCGGATTCGGGTGAATGAGGCACACAGGATGATGTCTATGCTAAGAGGGCTGGCAGTGGGTTGGGATATATAGCACGGCCCAGCATGTAGAGGAAGTGCCTCATCAACCGCAGCACTACTGGTGTGCGGAGGATGGAGACGTAGAAGGACACCAGAGGGCAAGTGGGAGTTCAACTGGCAAGGCTGTCGCAGATGGAGTGTGTGAAAGGAAAAGCGTTGAGGTGTTGAGGTTGTCGGTGCGCCGTAGACGAAAGCTTATGGCAGCCTTCAGAGCTTCATACCTTTGGCTTTGGACGGTGGCCGGTACAGGCCTTGCAGTGGCGGACGCTGCAGTCGGGGCAGTGGGCGTTGGAGAGGACGCGGGAAGTCGCACTTCGTGGTCGGTTGCCGGTGTTTGTTCTGCCATGCCCGAACTACGCCATCAGGAGGGCAAGCACGAGCTAGGCAGGAGCGATGGAGACGGAGCGTATGTAGTTGAGGCAGTTGAGGCAGTTGAGGTCCTTGGATCCAGCAGAGCAAGCAGGCGCACGTCGCTTCTTGCGCCGCTTGTTGGCGATGCACGGTGTCACTCCCGCATCTGAGTGTGGAAACGGGGGCAGGCCGGGCAGCCTTGGGAGCTGGCAAGGAGAGTTAGAAAGTCAGCGACGGTTGATCACGTCCGTCCACTCAGGATGTCGCCGTGGGAGTTGAGCCAAGACTAAGCGCCGTAGATAGGTTGGTAGGAAGTGTGTATTGGATCCGAGTTTGCTTGCAGCGTCACTCGTGCCTCTTGCCTGCTACGCTTAGTTCGGCGGTGGAGCTCTGACTAATTTAGAGGCGCTTACGATAAGCGCATGGGTACAATATGCATCCCGCTGGAAACGTCTAGTAATACCTCAGCCGCTAGGTAGCTTGGGTGCACCAGCAGCATCAGGATGGCTGAGAACAAGCCGTGGTTTGCTTGAGTTGAATATGTACTATTTAATGGCAGGACCAGGTAGTATTTCCTATCGAGGCACCTACCAATGAGGTGGTTCCGCGTGAGCATCAAAATGTACATGCGAGGCAGCTGTTTCTTCGGCGTATATTTAGCAGCTACCTACCTACTCACACTATCGGGTCAGCTGCTTCTACAGCGGTATACATGTGCGCAGGCTCTCACCCGCGTATTACATCTGGAAGAAGGAAGCAAGAGAATCAGGCACGCGCGGTTGATAGCCGCCCCTCCTCTCCCCCTTTTCTCTCCCTTTTTTATTACTGCTAGCAATTTTTCTAAAACTTCACGTGGAACACGACAAAGCCTCACAGTACTACCCCGGTGCTCAAACACTCCATGCTATACACTGCTCGTCAGCTGCCTGCAGCATAAAATCGGTGTAAGTGCAGTTTACCCTGGAGGGGTCGGCGGGGGAGACGGTGGGGCTACTCCGTAGTTCATGCCCCTTTTACTGCTCTGCTCCAAAGTTGATATCTTATAGACCGCCGGCAGAACATTCTTTTCTTCTTTCATTTTTCTTCTCCTCCCAGACTCAAGACTTCAAGTTCGCTAAGCTCTTGTTGTCCTTTCAGACTAGGGACGACCGTTTCTTTTCTTTTTTTGAACCACGCTTTACGCGACCCACGACTACATATCATGACCATATAGAGAACCCATTGATTAACGAAAATCGCATTTTCCACGAGGTATGTCTGCTCTAGCTCGCTGTGTCTCGACGAAGCGGTATTGACAAGGCCTATGGTACCGCCAGCACGTCGTAACGCATATTAAACCGTCTCAAAATGCCAGAGAGCGAGATGTCAACTGTTGTTGCTCAGCCTAGCGACGAGAACAGTGCTCCAGCTAAAGACCGAGCTGCTGAGGGGGCTGAACCGCCCGCTAGCGATAAAGTTGGCTCTGCCTCTGCGCCAGCAGCAAGAGCCACCCCCCGCTATGCCAGCGCAACCGCTACTTCGACTGTGGCTCGGACAACTGCCTCGGCGCGATCTGCGGCTACTCTGAACAAACAGCCGACTCGCGCGTCCACTTCGGCACACCGATCTACCGCCTCCACGTCGACGATAGGTCATCGAAGTGCCCCCAGTGTCGGTGCAAGTGAAGATGAACAGAAACCCAAGCCTGCGTCGCGAAGAGAGAGCACAGTAGTCTCAAACTCAGCGGGAGCCGCAGGAGAGAGAAAAACCGGGGCCGCTGGCAGCACTGTAGCGAGCCGTCGATCTACTGTGGGTGTTGGTGCTGCAAGCCCCAAACCTCCTGTTCCGCGCACTAGAACGGGAGCATCCGACTCAGTAGCAGCGATTCGAGCAGGATTGACCCGGAGTACTGTTTCGTCGAATGCCGCTGCGGATGCGAGGAAACGAACACCTGCACCTGGTATAGTGACTGGAGCTTCACGTCCATCAACAAGAACATCTGTTCGATCTGAGGCGCATCCAGACAGCCCTAAAATCCTCGACGAGCTCACATTCAAGCTAGCCGAGAGAGATAAAGAAATCGAATCCCTCAAGGTGGAATTGGGCACCTTCGAAAGCACCGTAACTGAACTCCGCCAGCAGCTAGAGGGCAGCGGCCAGCAAGCAGACGAGGGCGAATCTCCAAGCGAGCCCAAGGCCACGCCAGATGGCCCGAAAACTGATTACGATGCCGTCATACGTGACCTGGAAGCTCAACTACAAGAGAAAGCCGAGAAACTTCTTACTGTTGATGACGAGCTTATCGAGGCTGCTCGCATCAAAGACGAAGGAGGAGAAGCTCTAGAGGCACTGAAAAAAGAGCTTGAAAATCTAAAGGCTGAGAATGAGGAGAAGCTTAAAGCAACCGAGACTCAACTTGAGCAGACAAAACAAGACTATGCTGCTCAAGTTGAGAAGCTGCAAGCCTCCATCTCTGATAAAGCAGACTCAGACAAAACAGACACAGACTTGAGATTGGCATTCGAAGCAGACATTCAAAAGCTTCAGAACCAGGTGGATGAACTGACTGCTTCAAAAGCCGACTTGGAATCGACTATTAACGCCATCACATCCGAGCGCGATGCGTTGACCAGCAGATTATCTGATCTTGAAAATGAGATTTCAGATGTTAAATCTAGGCTCGCCATATCTGAGACAGCTGCGAAGAGTGCTGAAGCAAGTAAAGACGATGATAAGTCTCTGGTAGCGAAGATTCAGAGCGAATTAACCAACCGAGAGACGGAGCTAGAATCTGCCCGCAAAGTTGAAACTGAGCTGCAAAACACAATTAGCGACATGAAAGCCACACTAACTGGCAGGGATGAGGAGATTTCCAGCTTGAAAACAATGCACGATGAGCGTTTGAAGCAAATTTCTCAAGATTACGAGAATGAAATCGAAAGCCTTCGCGGCGATGCTTTCTTTAAACGCAAGTTTGAAGAACTGGAAAAGCTGCATAACGATCTGCAGGCCACCCTGACCGGAGAATCAGAGAAGCATACAAACGCTCTGGCAGAGTCGGAAGAGCGCCGGTTATCAGCGCTTAACTCACTCGAGTCCAAAGGACAAGAATATGAAGAGCAGCTGGCCAGTTTGAGACGTCGTCATGATGAAGAGTTGGCAGCTGCCAAAAACCAAGCTTTGGAAACATTGGATGTTCACGCCAAAGAACTAGAGTCTATTAAAGCTCGATACGACGAACAACTGCGGCTCGCACTTGCAGATGGAGAAGCTACATCGGTAGAACAAAGTGGGCTTCACGAGAAGGTGCTGAATGACCTTAAGAAGCTTCACGAAGAAGAAAAGCAAGGCTTGCTTGCTGCACACCAATCTACTCTAACAGCAACATCTAGTCAACATGCAGAAGAATTAGCTGCGCTGCATACGAAGCTTGAAGAGGTGGCAGCACAGCTTGAAAATGCGAAATCCACGAGTGCGGAGGAGTATCAAGCCTCAAAGCAGGAATTGCTTAGCCTACACGCTGCCGAAATCGAGAAACTCACCACTGCTCATGCAGATGCCCTGGCTGCATTGAAAGAAGAGGGACTCCAAGTAACCCAGAAGCTAGAAGAGCTAACAGTCGCTTATGCGCAAATGGAGACCAGCTTAAGCGAAGCCAAGGCTCAAAACGCGAGCTCCAGGGCTACTCTGGATGAAGCTAAAGCTCAGAGTGCGAGCCTGGAGGAGCAATTGTCACATCAGACTTCCACAAACGCAACTCTCCAAGCCTCATTGAAAACTGCGGAAGAGCAACTTTCACTTCAGGCTTCCACCAATGCAACTCTCCAAGCCTCACTGAAAACTGCGGAAGAGCAACTTTCCCTTCAGGCTTCCGCCAATGCGACTCTCCAAGCCTCGTTGAAAGCAACAGAGAAACAGCTATCACTTCAGGCTTCCACCAATGCCACTCTCCAAGCTTCACTGAAAACGGCACAGGAGCAGCTAGTCGTTGTCCAAGCAGAAGCAGATGACGTCGGCCAGCAGCTTGCTCTAGAAAAAGTAGAGCGAATGACCGCACTTGCTGAGCTAGACGCCGTTCAGACCGCCAAACCTGATATGACAGCCATCAACACCCTAAAGGCTGAACTTATGGCAACTACCAAGACGTTCCAGGAGGCCTTGGCTGTTACTAAAGCTGAGCTGAAGTCTACCAAAGATAACCTTGCCGACATGGAAGACAAATATACCGCTACCCGAGAAAGCTTGATTCTGACGTCCAAGGACTTGGAGGAGCTGCGGATAACGTCGGAATTGAAGGAGAAGACGGCTCACGCAGATTATAGCGACTTGAATGATAGCATGACCACACTAGTGGAAGAAGCTAACAAGAAGGTGAAGGAATGGGAGATGAATGTTGAGCAGCTCATGAAGAAGCTCACTGAAGCAGACCTTGAGAATGATCAGCTGCAAGGTCAGCTAAAAATCAAGGACGCTGAGCTAGCGGAGGCAGAGGTAAGTTCTCACGCCTTCTTTATACCTGAAGACGCTCCCTGACTAACAACGCATCAGGCTCAGGCCGCTCTGTTCAAGTCCACCAGCGGCGGGACTGGTAGTCTAGATGCGGCAGGCAATGCAGCCGACGGCGAAGAAATCGATCACTCTTCAACGGCACTAGCTTTGGTACGAGAGCCCCTGTAAACTGCCGCCAATCCTGCAACCATTTTTCATGCGCAGGTTGATATTTCGATTTGACTAACCGTTTGAAGTAGCTCAGCAAAGTTAGATTGACTGCCAAGCAAGTTGACTCTCTCGACCGAGAGATGAGAGATCGTAACTTACAGTAAGCAGGCTCATCGTACTAACATTACGGCCAAAATAGAAATAAAATACTAATTTGTTTTTACAATATAGGCTCCTCAACTCAATTACAGATGTGAAGCTGTCATCTTAGAAACTTTTTTTATTAACGTTATTTATATGATTTGATTAATATTTAGTGGTAATTAGTGCCATTTAAAATTGATGAATTTAAATGGAACCTGAAAGATGATTTACGCTTTACCGTGAGTTGCCATCAGAGATCCTATCACCTTATGTTAGCAATGAAACATGGAAAAATAAAAGCTGCATAGCCTTTGATGGTATTGAACTTACCAATGAACGTCGTCACCAGGCGACTACGGACCTGGCAAATATCCTCGGGGACAAGCCATATGGTCGCGCCAAGCTTACGAGCAATACTAATGCTCAACTTCGCATTCATATATGCATCTTCTTCCGTTTGGCCGGGAGTCACCAGGTCATAGTCCACATAGCTGCTCTTCATGCCGTTGAGGACGTCCAGAAGGAAAACACCAGAGCCAATCGCAGGGTCCTTGAACGACCTAATAGATGAGTTACGGCCACCCTTCTTTGACATATCGTTGGCCCATCTGACCATTTCGGCGTCAGTTATCTCTTTCTTGCCGAGATTTTGTGCCAGAGAGGATAGTGTCAGCGTAATGTCTTTTCGCATGAGTTGCCACACAAGTCCAAGTGTCAATGTTCTTTGGCCATCTGTAATATCTGCTCCTTGAATGCCTACGAGCGAAAATCCATTCTGCTTGCCCAACTCTATAGCATAGTTGGTGTTTTCGACAGCTTTGAATCTGAGCATTTCCCCTCCATGAGCGGGAGCTTTGTTAACGTGGCGCCAGTTAACAGATCCTTTAATGACCTTGTCGTATGCCTGTAGAAGAGCCGAGCCGTCTCTCAAATCATCGAAAAACGAGACTACAGCTGGCTGCACGTCCAAGCTGTTTAGCCACAGAGTAAAGACTCTCGCCTCGCGTTCTCCCTCTGCGTCGAAATCTTCGACCTGCAGCTTCTCCTCTTCGGTAATAGGGTCAAGTGCAGGATGGGTGTTGAAGAGGTTAGCGACGAATGCCAAGTTCAGTTTCGGGTTGCCCGCTACCAATGATGACGGAGTCAAAAATTTGCGGCATCCAAGCTTATCGGCTTCTTGCAACACCTCTTCAGCCCTCTGCGTTAAATCTCTGGTTTGCAAAGCAGCTCGTGTGCAGCCGTACTCTCCTCCTATTTGCGCGAGGAGGACGGTGTAGTTTTCACTGTCCTTCACATCGCTAGAGAAGTTTGCCACTCTAAACGAGGCCAAAGAGTTAGTGATAGTCCCATAGGAAAACAATTGTGCACATACCTTCTGGGCCAATTGGCGGCTTTTAGGTGGTAGTTGAACCAACGAAGCAGAATCTGCTCGGGAGGCAGTCTCAAGAACTGCTCCAGAGTCTCATCCTCTTCCAGGAGTCGGTACAGTTCAGGGTGCAGTTTGATATCAATTTTTCCCAGCAAGCCTCGTCGAATAATTTGCCAAATGAGACCAAGAATAAGATGCTCGCGCACTTCAATGATATCTCCCGCTCCGATATTGACAACAGAGCACCCAATACCCTTGCATGACTCAATGACGATGTTGTTGTTCTCACTCATTTGGAAAGCATTTAGAGTTTTGGTTTTCCGGCCGGGTATATTCATAACTCGCTCATCGATAGTATCCGGAACGCTGTCGTTAATGAGTTTCGCAAGAACCAATCCATCTTTACATTCGTCGAACATCTCAAACGTGTCGGTAGGGAACGGAAGTCGGCTACCAATATCCCGATCACCAGCCAAAACCGCGTTGATGTGGCGTGTAAACTCTGTTCTCTCATCTTCATTGATTGTATGCGTAGTATTCGCATTTGATCCCTGGACTTGGATTTTGCCGCTTACGCTGCCCTTTGAGGCATGGCCTTGGGCGGCGCCAGCTCCAGAAGGTGCTGGCCCAGGACCAGTAGAGAGACGTTTTTGTGCGGTCGATCCGGCGCGCAATTTAGCGATAAGCTGGCAAATGTTAGAGGAGTTGCGAGGCAAGAAATAGATTGACTGACTCCGACATAGTCTTCGAGCTCTACTCGCCGTGAAGAGTCGAGGTCTACTTCCTTCAGAGCTTGTCTGACAACATCATACGGCTGATTTTCGCTTTGCTGGGTGGCTTTAATGGCCGTTGCTTCATCGAGGTATCCCCGGTCTTCTACGTCCAGCCGCTGGAAGGCGTCGGAAAGCTGGAATATCTCATTCTGAGGAAACTGAGGAAACTTCCTATCAAGCGCATTAGATCAAGGCCGAGTGAGGCCATAGCCGATCAACATTCAACGTACCTCTGAAGCTTAAGGACATTCATACTGGAAATCTCGGTGATCTTTCTTCGAGTCAATGTCGAGTCAATGTTCAGAACAAAGGAGCTGCGTAATCTGCTCGAAGTAATGGCTAGCCAGCTAGTAGTGAGGGGGGTCAGACAATTGACGCCAGTGGTTGAACCCCACACAGCCACGTTCCCCTCTATCCAAGGCAGCCTAGCTATCCATAGCTAAATTACGTAGTTGCCTGCTAGGCATACACGTAATGTTAGTGGAAAAGATGGCACCCCCTGTATTAAAGCTATAGACTATCCTATTTTATATGCTGAATAAGGTATTTTGTCGACAAAGGTGATTTGATCGTTAGACTAATACAATACTTACGTGCTATTGAGCATAAGTAAGTCCAGTTATTCTAGTGGCATACTTTTAAAAAAAAAATAACTGTTTTATTACTAGATAGGTATTAGTTACAATACTTCAGTATCGCAAACCGTTAAAGGCGCGTTTTCGAACACCATTATAACCAGCACAAATTTTGGTCTTGTTACCAAGTATCTCGCATCTCATGAAAAATATCTTTCATGTGTTTGAATGTAGAAATTACCTGGAGACCCGAACATTGTACAAATGAGAGGAAAATGTGGACAGAAAAGAGAGTAGTACGGTTAAAGATTCCAGGCAACCGGTCTACTACCGTAATTACACTTCGACATTGGTGGCTTCTACTACTCAGCAACATCAAGATCGTCATGAGCGGGAAGAGGACTCTCAGCTGGTAAATGTCAGTATTGTGTTCACAATTGGAAGAGACAGATCCGGGAAATGCCGCGCTACCTTTTCTTTCGTCGCCATTAGTTCCGTTTTCCTTTCGGTCGCGATCATCACGCTCATCTTTAGTATCGCGGTCTCGGTCGCTACACAAATAAAAATGTCAACTTCGGAACCGCCATTGATAGTTCGAAGAGCTTACCGGTGTTCAGGGCTTCTAGAGCGATCCCGGTCCCTTCGACTATCGCGATCATAGTCTCTGTCGCGATCCCGACGTTCTTCTTTGCGCGGAGAATAGTCGCGAGTGCTGCGACGGGGGGAGGGTGATCGGCCACGGCGAGGAGATCGCGGTCCACGACGATCACGATCACGCCCAGATTCGAAGCGCCATGAGGCTGAAGGAGGTGTTCTAGCCCACTAGAAGCACGTTAGTAGTGGCAAATGATTGGATCATTGCACACGCACCTCAATCTTCAATAGATCATCTCGGCCAATACGTTTGTTGTGCATTTCATGGTATGCGTCATCGGCATCGCGCCTGTCTTCGTATTCCACGAAAGCAAACCTTATTAGAAGCCGTTAGCAAAGCGGTTACTTCTCAAAAGTATCAAGTTACCCACAGTCTGCTGGAAGTAGATCGCGGCGCAGGAATGTCACAGCGGACCAGGCGCCCATATCTATTCGACACTCTTCATTAGCCATGCCATCACAATGCAGACACGGAGGGTGCAGTCGACGGGGCAGCCGTTTCTCGGGCATTTTCATTGACTGTATGCACACGAAAGGAGGTGCAATCTAACTATCGGTTCGCATAGAACAACTTCGGGCGATAAATGAAACGCATCGACCGACACGGCAGGAAAAGGGAGAGGTAGGTTCAGGCGTCAACGGGGGGGGGAGGGTTGCGAGGGCATCGGACATCGACATCGACGGTGTATCAAATCTGTCGACCGAAAGGAGTTCCTCGTGGCGGTACAAGACAGGACGCGGGCGAGGGCGAGGGCGAGGACGAGAGCGAAAGCGTGAGCGTGAGCGTGGCGTGGTTGACGTACCGTTCGAATTCGTAGGCGAGATCGCGCGCGCGGGTGCCGTGGCTAAAGCCTGTGACATATAAAGTAGTGCCGCCGCGAGACATTTCGAAATGTGAAGGAAAAGAAAGTCAGTATTGGAGTGTATTGGAGCAATTGAAGAAAATTAGATATCCGGGTGCGCAATCGTCAGCGGATGTAGACGTTAGGATGGTTCTGAGGCACGCAAAAATGTGCTAATGGCAATAAGTTTAGTAGCGTACTAAAAGGAAATCTACTAACGTACTAGTAATAATACCAAGATTTTCATAACGTCATCATTCATGTATTTATACATTTATACATTATATAAACTTAAAATAAAGTACTTTCTTTTTAACATTATAAATGTTAAATATCAAGCACAATAATAACTAAAATTAATTAACTTAAAAATTTCATAAGCATTCAGCATACCTAACGGTACTTGAATGATTTTGTTTTTTTTTTATAACTTTTATTTTATTTTACTTCAACTATGAATCCTAAATCTACTCTCAATTTCAGTACTTGCCTCGCCCTGAAACAACAAACCTCCCTGTTTCCACTGTATACTTCCACCCGTCCCGCGCAAGCGCAGCAGCCACAGCCTGTCGAAGTGGTGAAATTCCACTTGCATTATGACGGCCTAAGCCAGTAACAATAGTGAGACTTTTGTCTAAGACTGGCCCTTCTCGAGCACGTATATCTTTCCACCAACTCAAAACTCGCTGACGAGCAATTCGCACTCCATCTTGGACGGACACGCCGTGCAAATCAACTGTCCTATCGGTGCTTTGTTGGTCAACTAATATGTCTGCCGCAGTGGATGTAGCTTCTTGGGCGTGCTTTGCGTGTTCGCGAGCCTGTTGCGCATAGTAGCCTGCTGCCTGTCGATACAGCGGGTTTGAAGCCCCACGCCGATGGAGGCTTGCAGCAGATGCAATCGCATCTTGTTTCTGCCTATGTAGATTGTTTGATGTTTGCAGAGCCTTGTTGAGATTTTCTCCGGCACTAGAAGTTGATATCGAGGTAGCTCGACGAGAACTCCTTCCTTCAGCCCGGGTATCAGTGACCGTCTCTGTTGATCCTTCGAGATCTTCGTGTGGCAGCGGTGTTAGCCTATAATTCAGTTTGAGCTTCTGGTTCATCGATCTTTTGCTGAAGTATGCGTTCACTTGTGCTGCGAGTTCCGCAGCATATGCAGAATCCGGCCCAGTTATCCGGATGATAACTTGCAAGTACTCGTCCGGGGTATTGCGGTACTTCTGTTTGAGATCGTCTATGGCTTTTTTCTCTACAATTGATGGGGACTCAGCCTCTCTCTGTATGAGGAACTGATCCAGGATTCCGAGGATGGTAGCCACTTTAGAGTTACCGTTTTCGGCATATATTATAGAAACTTCTTCAGGAGACATGTTCAAGCGCTTGGATATGTAGACGATGGCAGTGGGAGCTGTGATAACGCAACACTGTTTAGCAACTCACGGACTGGGTGGTAGACACCAGGATCAACCCACTTTTCAGCGTCTTTGCATTATTCATACTGGCCTCGCCATCGGTCATTCTTGCTGCGTCATATCCGTATACACTACGGTTCCCACTGAGAGCCTCGATTTTGGTGTCACCAGCGCTGGAAAGTGCATCTGGCGCAGTCCCTTGAGCAGTGGCGGATTGTAGATATTGAACACTAAGGAGGGTATCCAACGCAATTGCAACGACGCCGTTTGATTCGAGTAGTGCATGCCTAATAGCCCAACTTTGTAAATCAGGAAACAATTCCTGGAGCTGCAGAATGTCTGTTTCCAGCAGCCCAGAATTTGGGAATTCACTGTCTGGAAGCACCAACTCTGCAGAGAGAGGGAGTGAAGATGTCGCATTTTCCGCGTCGATCGATCCTTGGCCATTAGCATGTTTCCTATTGGGACTGCTCGTGCTGGCTGAGTGCTCAATGTCTACTACCCATCTATCTTCGTCTTCTAGATGCCGGTGTACGGCACTTGGGTCGAAACCACTAGATTCTTCTGTGTTGGCATCTTGCGCGAGACTTTCCAAGACCGTGCAGGCAGTACTATAGCCAGCAGCGGTAGATACATCGTAGTCATTTGCGATAGCAATGACCAGGGACTCGTCAAGAACTGAGTCAAATAAATCCTAAGGGAGAAGACGCAATTTAGATTGTGCTGGTGGAGGAAAAGGCGAGAGGTTAACCAGTTGGAAGAGACATAGGTACTATAGAACGAAACTACTAGTACTAAAGAAGAGAAATAAGTATAATACATACCACCAGCTGCTGGATAAGTGAAGTCTTAATAGTAGTAGCCATAAGGGAAAGAAGTACTATTAGGTTGTAATATTGGTAGTAAAATAGTATGTTTGTTTAGGATAGTTAAAAAAGTAATAATATATTATAATTAAAAGTAAAGGTATTATAATTAGAAGTTGTAATTTTACTTATTTATAATAAATATAATATATAATATTATATAATATTATTAATAAAATATATTAAATATTTTTTTTTTAATTTTTATAATAATAAATAATAAAGAAATTATATATAAAAATTTAAAAAAATTAAAAATAATTCTTAAGTAAAAGTTTATTTTATTTAATTAAAAGTTTATTAAAAAATTTCTTAGTTTATTTAAATTAATTAAAAAAGTTTTATTTTAATATTTTTAAATTTAAATTTTAGTATTAATTTCTTTTATAATTATTATTTTAAATAAATATTTTAATTAATTTATAAGATTTTTTATAATTTAAATATATTTATTATTATATTTTTATAAATTAAAATAATATTAAAATTTTATAAAATTTATTATTTTATAAATATAATTAAAAAATAACTAAAAAATATATATAATTTTTTATTATTATTAATAAAATATTTTATTATATTTATATTTAAAAAATAAGAAATTATAATTAATATTAAATTATAATTAATAATAATTTATAAAATTAATAATAATTTATAAATAATTTAATAAAATTATTAAAAAAATATTATTAAAATTTATTTTTAATATAATTATATATTTATAAAAAACTTATAATAGCTAATATAATAAACAATTATATTTAGTTTTTAGTTTAATAACTAAATAAATAAAAATATTTAAAAAAAATATATTATATTTAACTTTATTAGGTTTAATAATATTAATAATACTAGATTATTAAAATTACTTATAAGGTTTAAAATAAGGTTTTTATACTAAAAATAATATTTTTTACTAATAACTTAATATAATATAATAAAAAAGCTACTTATATAAAAGCTAGTCTTAAGTTTTATAAGTATAAAAGGCCTTAATAGTTTCTTAAAAAATAAAAGAAATTAATTATTAAATATTATTATAATATATAAGACTTTAATATTAATAGTATAAATATAATAAAATAATCTTATAGTAGTAAAATAATTTTATAACTAACTATAATTTTTAAATAATAAATAGTAAAAGGAAATAATAAAAAAATAGTAATAACTATTAAATTAAACTAGTTATAAAAGTAAACTATTAACTAAGCTAAAATTAATAAATTTAGAAAAAGAAAAGTAATAGTATAATAAGTAAAAAAGTAAAAAAAGTAATATTAAAAAGCTTTATATACTTAAGGGAATTAAAAAAAATATTAAATAAAATTATAAATATATAATAAAAGGAAATAATAATAATATTAAAATATTAAAAAAAAGGTTTAATAATAAATTATAATAATAGGTAGTTTATTTTTATATACTTAAGAGAAATAAAAAAATATTATATATTTTTATTTTTTATTTTAAAAAAACTTATAATTTTATATAAAAAGAAATTATTTAAAATATAATATAAATAATTAAAATATTTTATTATATTTTAATAATTTATTAATATATTTATTATTTATTTAAATAAAAAATAAAATAAATTAATTAATTATAATTAATTTCTTTTAAATATAAAAAAAATAAATTACTTATTATTATAATTTATTATTAAACTTTTTTTTTAGTATTTTATTATTATTATTATTATTTTCTTTTATTATATATTTAATATAATTATATTACTTATTATAATTATATTATTTATTATAATTATATAATTTATTATAATTATATTACTTATTATAATTATATAATTTATTATAATTATATTACTTATTATAATTATATAATTTATTATAATTATATTACTTATTATAATTATATAACTTATTATAATTATATAACTTATTATAATTATTTTTTTATTAATTTATTAAAATTAAATTTTTAGTTTAAAATAATTAAATTTAATTACTTTTATTTTTTTAGTAATATTAGTTTTAATATTTTAAGTAAAATATATTACTTTTTTTTATAAAAAAAATAATAGCTTTTTTTTATTAATATTAAAGTTTTATATATTAATAATATTTAGTATTTTAAATTATATTTAATAGTTAATTTCTTTTATTTTCTAAGGAATTATTAAAGTTTTTTATATTTATTAGCTTTTATATAAATAACTTTTTTCTTATTTAACTTTAGTATTATATTAAGTTATTAAAAAAAAAATTCATTTTTAATATAAAAACCTTATTTTAAATCTTATAAGTAATTTTAATAATTTAATATTATTAATATTATTAAACTTAATAAATCTAAATATAATATTTTTTTAAATATTTTTATTTATTTAATTACTAAACTAAAAGCTAAATATAATTTTTATTATATTAGTTATTATAAGTTTTTTAAACTTATATAATTATATTAAAAATAAATTTTAATAATTAAAATAATTTATTTTTATTTAAAATAATATTTATTATTTCTTTTATTTTTATATATATAATATTAATTATTATAATAAATAATTTAATATATTAAATTATAATTAATAATTCTTTTATAAATTCTTATATAAATTTATTATTAAATATTTTTTATAATTAATATAATTTAAAATAATTTTTTAAAATATAATTATTTAATTTATTATAATTAAAA